TCCATGCTCACATCTTCCCAAGGTCTTTCCGGAACTGGCAAAGGCTTGTAGAGACCTTTGTGAAACACCATCTTGGCCCTTTGACAAGTAGAACAACGACTAACCACATGATGAACCGTGGCTAACATCTTCGGCCAATAAAAGTGAGCTTGAAGAAGCTCCATTGTTTTTTGAATCCCCACGTGACCAGCTAGACCTCCTCCATGAGCCTCATGAATCAACAAGCTTCTAATTGGACACTTAGGAATGCATAACCGATTTCCCTTAAAAAGAAAGTCATCATGTAAGGAAAATAAGTCATATACTCCATGGACACATTTCTGTATTATTTCAATGAAATCTCCATCCTCCTTGTAGTATGCTATGATCAAATCAAACCCAAGAACCTTTGCTTCGACAACTCCAAGCAAATTGTGTCTCCTAGATAAGGCATCCGCAACAACATTAGCCTTTCCACTCTTGTATTTAGAGGAAAAGTTAAAGGTTTGCAAGAATTCAACCCATTTAGCATGTCTTGATTTCAACTTCTTTTGACCATGGATGAACCTTAGAGATTCATGGTCCGAATGTAATATGAACGGTTGTGGTCTCAAGTAATGTGACCAATGATCTAGAGCTCGTACCATAGCATAGAACTCTTTATCATAGGTGGAATAGTTCAACTTGCCTTGACTCAACTTTTCACTGAAATAAGCAATTGGACGCCCTTCTTGAATCAAAACTGCTCCAATCCCCTTCCCACTTGCGTCACACTCAACTTCAAATGGCTTGGAAAAATCAGGGAGTGCAAGAATAGGAGTGTTGCACATTTTCTCCTTGACTTCTTCAAAGGCCTTTTGAGCTTGTGTAGTCCATTCAAACGTCCCCTTCTTAGTACACTCAGTTATAGGAGCCATGAGTGTGCTAAAATTCTTGATAAATCTTCTATAGAAAGAAGCTAGGCCATGGAAAGAACGGACCTCCGTGAGTGTTTTTGGACTAGGCCATGATTGAATTGCTTCAACCTTGCAAGGATCCACCTTCACGCCATCACCTGAAACTATGTAACCAAGAAAAGTGACCTCATATAACATAAAATCACATTTTTCAAGTTTTCCATACAATTTTTGCGTTCTTAAAACAGAAAAAACTTGAAACAAATGATCTAAATGTTCATCCTCATTTTTAGAGTAAATAAGGATATCATCAAGGTACACCACCACGAACTTGCCAAGAAATGGCCTCAACACCTCGTTCATTAATCTCATGAACGTGCTAGGTGCATTGGTCAATCCAAACGGCATCACAAGCCATTCATACAACCCATGCTTTGTCTTGAATGCAGTCTTCCATTCATCACCTTCCCTCATACGAATTTGATGGTAACCACTTCTCAAATCAACTTTTGAGAATACATTTGAACCACTCAATTCGTCCAACATATCATCCAGTCTTGGAATTGGGAACCTGTACTTGATAGTAATATTGTTAACAGCTCTACTATCAATGCACATACGCCAAGTTCCATCCTTTTTAGGAACCAACAAGGCAGGAACCGCACATGGACTCATAGACTCACGCACATAGCCCATACCCATCAATTCTTCAATTTGTCTTTGCAACTCCTTAGTTTCTAAAGGGTTACATCTATAGGCAGGTTTATTTGGTAGAGGTGCGCCTGGAATGAGATCAATTTGATGCTCAATTCCTCTCAAGGGTGGTAATCCCTTAGGTAACTCATCCGGAAAAACATCCTCAAACTCTTTAATCAGTTTTGCAAGTTTAGGATTTTGACTCACAAATTTTTCATGGATTTCTTTAGAGTACAACATGAATATCTCTTCCTCACCCTCAAACTCCCTCTCAAACTCTTTACAAGATAATAAAGAAATTTGTGGCTTTTGTGGTTGTGAAAAACCGTGGAGGTGGTAAAGGGTGCAATTTCTTTTGTTTCCCTTGGTGAGTGATAGTGTAGGTGTTATGATACCCATCATGGATAGATTTTTTATCAGATTGCCACGGTCTCCCAAGAAGAATATGACAAGCATCCATTAAAACAACATCACACAATTGACTATCATGATATGAACCAATCGAAAAACTCACCATACATTGCTTTCTAACCCCAGTGCTAGCATTAGAATCTAACCAACTCAATTTGTAAGGATGTGGATGATTTGTGGTGGTAAGACCTAGTTTAGATACTAAGGTTTTCGACACAGTATTAGCCTCACTGCCCCCATCAATAATTAGATCACATACCTCGTCACCAACTTTACATTTGGTGATGAAAATGTGTTGTCTTTGTGGTGCCAAAGGTTCCTCCACACGAGCTTGCAAAGCTCTCCTAACCACCAAGTTTGTTTTGTCCTCCATTTCAGGATAGCATTGGTCCTCCTCCTCATCCTTTTCATACGGGGTCACCTCCTTCTCTTCTTCAGACTCAAATTCCTCCCAATTGATGCTTTGGGTGGCTATGAGTTTAACCTCTTGCATGGTTAAGGCTCTTGAATTAGGACAATCTTTTTTATAATGTCCTCTACCTCCACACTTGTAACATACAATGTCACTAAGCTTGAAGTCTTTCGTGTTCCTCTTTGGTGGCTCATTTGGCTTGCTAAAAGAAGAACCCTCCTTTGAGTTGAAGGGTGGTTTGCGTACCACTGGAGTAGTAGTAGGCGTTTTCTTCCTTTTCCTTTTAGCATCAAACTTTGTCACAAGTTTGCAAGCTTCCACAAACGTGAGGTTAGTGTAACCGTCAAGTTTGTCTTGTAACTCTTGTTCCAACCCAGCTACAAAACGCCCCAACTTCAGCTCTTCATTTTCAGTCACTTCACATACAATGGCAAGCCTATCAAATTCTTTGATATAGTCTTCCACCGAATCACCATTTTGTTGGAGAGTACTCCATTTCACATACTGATTTTGCTTGTAATTGTGAGGAATGAAACGATCTCTCATTCTTTTCTTCAGCTTTTCCCAAGTGGAAATGTGAGCCTTACCCCTAAGGGTACGCCCTCTTTGTTCTCCTTGCAACCAACTATCACCATAGCCCTTCAACTTGACTTTGGCAATCTTAAAACGTTGAACATCCTCATGAATGTCCTTGTATTCAAAGTACCTTTCCAAGGATTTCTCCCATTCCAAGTACTTCTCTGGATCAAGTGTCCCATCAAAGCAGGAACGTCCACTTTGAGACTCCTATCCTCCCTCCTAGGTGGAGGGTCTTCACCTTGATCTCTCCTATCTTGCTCGTTCATGAGCCTTGCCATCAAGCAGCAAGGTTCCCTTGGAGATTGGCATTGGTTTCGGCCAACCTTTCCTGACTAGCAATGGATCGATTAAGAGCTTCCAAAGCTGTCCTCAAGTCTTGATTCTCTCCCATGGTATGTAGGTATTCGACCCCTTTGGAAAATTTAAGAAAATTTCCCCCTACCTGACGCGCCAAATGATGTGTAAACAAGATGAGAAACCTTGTTACAAGAAATGATAAGTTAAGAGATTCAAAGGGTTTAAAGTTCAATTGTCAAGTAATCAGTTTAGTTAGGGGAACTCTCACCCTAAGCTAAGGATATAGCAAAGAGGAACTCTCACTCGTTTGCTTGGGATAGTTTAGATGAGGGAACTCTCACCAAATCATAAACTATAAGCCCTAATTTTGGGAACTCTCACCAAAACTAACACTCTTCAAATTCGGATACTCAAATTTGGAAAACAAAGTGAGCTAAACTCAAGTCACTTCAATTAACAAAACACACGTTTTTTAGGCAAATAATCTTGGATGATTTTCATTCATTCAAAGTATGCTATTTATAGCATCAATACAACCTTTTCACTTGCCTACTTTAATTAACAAAATGAAATAGACAAAAGGAAATTAACTAAGGGAATGAGTGGAGATTACACGTCCCACTTAACCCCTTTTACAAACATGATTAAACTTAATTAAAAGAACTAAAGACTAGGCTTGAAACAAGGGAAGATGACCAGCCAAAATAGCATCCAAAGAGCCTCTTCAGCACACGCCCAAAACAGCCATTTTCAAGCTTGTGTAACCCCCATTTTAATGCCTTGATTCACGCCTCTTTATTCTTCATAACCCCCAAATAATGAGGTGCAATGTTCAGCCAACAAACTCCATAATTCACGCCCAACAAGTGCCATGAATCACTCCTCTTCAATCAGCTTGTAACCGTTGCACTTGGAGCTTGGAAAACCGTCACTTGCTAGATACCTTCTACAAGGTTAATTACACTAAGTGAAGTGTAACCACGTGTAAAATCTTTCGGACCAAAACCGTGCAAAGGAGTAAGGAATGATTTGGACAGAAACAATTCCTTTGCATTGCTTTGAACTTGGACCTCACCTTGACTACTTGGAGCATTACAATCATTAGAACTTTGACCATATTGGTCACATGGGTTATGCTTTGCCCCTGTTTTTGGAGACACTCCCATTATTTTATACACAAGGATGTAACTATAACAAGAGAATCCATAATTGAGTAACTATGGAGTTACTATCAAGTTACAACCATTGAGCTCTTTCTAGGGCGTGCGATTACACACGCCTACGAGCTTCCGTGGGTGGAATGAGCGTTTCCTTACGCGGAAATATTCCCTAATAATATACTTTTATTAACAATTATTACATGCACCACGGAGTACCCAAAACATACGATGATCCCAATTAGACGCATGCATGAAAAGCAAGCGTCTAGAGTTAAGAGGGGTGTCATGTATAGTTCTGAGTGCAATAATTGGATCTGAATGTGAATGTTTAAGAATATAGATGTGATTACGAGTATAATGTAAGATGTAACCCTTTACCCTTGTACTGTAGTCCTTGAGGTAATGTAACTATGATGGAAATCATACCTTTATTAACACAAATTCAGGTTATTACTTGTATTATTTTGGTAGAAAGGAGCTATATAGATTGTATGGCAGATAGCAAAATACAAGAAAATCATGAAAAAAGCATAGATCTTTCTTAACAAAAGCTTGCAATCAAAGACTGGGTGAGAAAAATTGCAAATTAACGAGGCGTTACACAACTAATATGAGTAATGTTAAGTCAAAATCAATATGGAATACATCGTTTTCATGCACTCAGGGCTGAGGTAAACTTCCCACATTTTAATACATGCCCACGGAAAGAAATTCATATTTCTAAATTCCTGAATTATACGAACCTATCATATTTGGTAACATCTTGCAAAAATCACTATATTGATCAGAAAATACTTTCACCCAAGTATGTCTCAGCCACAACGAAAATTGTGATCGCATGTTTATCTCAATGATAGGGTGATCACCTGATAACCTGCCGTTAACCCCAGCCCCTCTTTTCTCCAACTTCAGTTGGCAACTGGCGAGTAAGCAGTTAGTGACTTGCTCTTCCAAGTTCTACTCCTCTTTTTCACCACCCTCAGGTTTGGTTTGGTTTATACTGGCTTTAGCATTGGCAAGGAATGTTGGATCTGGCTCATGCTTGTCTGAAGGCTCTTTCATCGCCATGTATATGTAAAACGCAATTACCACGTTAACTGATATAACAGCCAGAAATCCAACCAATAGTGTCTGATAATAGGGAGAAAGGTTCGCTAAACCTGATACATAGAGCAAAAGTACAATTTAAAGATTATTACTAACCACCTATACAAGAATAGTAAGCCTACATCAAATAAAGCATACCAAAGTAAAAACAAAGAAAAAATAAAGCATCAAAATAGATCATACCAATAAAGTACAAAAGAAAAAGAATAACTAGCACATGCATTATTCTAAACAAAAATTCACTCATATAATGGATTAAGAAAAAGGCAAACAGTGCAGTTATATTGAACATAGCATAGCTTGACTATAGTACACAAGTAATATTATTCTCACAATCCCAAATGAAGAGACACTTTTTACTTAAGTTGTCCCAAATAAACTGCAACGTTACCATTTCTGGTAAAATTTCACTTTACCTTTTCTACTAAGGGGAAACCCTCACTCATTTTGTCTATCTACATTTATTTTTCTTTATGGCGCCAAAATGGTTTGTGGCAAATAAATTGGGATGGAGGGAGTAATTACCAAAGAGAGCACATTACACTACAATACAGGAGGAATACCTTTCATTACTCAGTAATCAAAGGCTGAACTATACAAATACAGCCAACAGCTAGTTTGGTTCTCGTAAGTTCTAACAGCAGCCATAAACATTGCACCAGACCATAGGACGTTATTTCTAGCTGGAAGAACACACAACTTTTTGTTGTTCCTTAGATTTTATAGTTTCCCATACTTTCCACATAGAATGCCATCAATCCAGTTTTTGCATCTGATATCCAACCAGCTGCTAATCATCTCATTGCATATTCTAATGAAAGGACACCTAAAGAAGATGTGCTAAGTAATCTCATTCTCAAGATAACAGAATAAACAAGAGTATGAGCACACATCTACATTAACTAGCCTTTCACTTGTCCAAAAGTTTCCTCAATGCAGCTATATTATGATAATTTCAGGATATTATACCTACTCCAAAGTCCAAATCTAACGGAACCATGGTACATTCAGTTGCTCCCCTTTCAACCATTTATAGCCATCTGCAACAGTGAAAATTTCTCGACATATAGTCATCCATCCTGACCAGAACCTGCCTTCACTTCTTTTAATTTACAGATATTTTTCCAGCACCCCACCCTTAATACACATTGTGCCCCCATTTCAACCATAATAAATCAGCCTTTGGAGTCGCTTGCCAAACATACTCTGAGTCGCATGGTTTCACAAAAAACAATCACTAAGGCCTAAATTACCACAAAAATTTAGATTAACAAATCCAGTCACTTGCCCTTAATTTCCACGGAAAAGGTCTGCATAATTGCACTATTTTGTCCATCACTTTTTTAAGGCAGGATGAAAATCAGTGCCCAACAAGTGTAGATAATTATTAAAACAGAATCGATCAGAGTAGATATGGCAGCATATGATAGGTTCCTACCAAGGAAGTTGTCAGCTTAAGCATCACAATGCCGCTCAGCAATTAAAAGCAAGGGAATTGTTCCCTTAATATAATCTGATTATTAGAAAAAAAAAAAAAAAAAAAAAAAACCTCTTAAACATGCTCAGGTACATTTCCAAAGTAAACAGCAGTTCTAACACCATTTAAACTTAGCCAATAGCATCAAGAGAATGAATCAAGGGAACTAAAAGCTAGCTTTGTTGGCTTAGCACCCCCCTTGTAAAAATTACATCCGCAGAAAACTAAACTAATTCGGGTGTAAATCTCCACCTAAACTTAAAATCAGCTTTCTAAACTACCTACTCTAAGATTCTTGACAAATACTCCATAGGAAGCTCAAGAAGCAAGGAAGATATGGGATCACCTTGTCTTATGCCTTTTTTACCATTAAGGAAACCATATAATCTACATTTATAAATAGAGAATAGGTAAGGGTAGAAACATATTGCATTACCCAGTTCATGAGCCTCTCAAGAAAATCAAGAGCTTGCATCATTTCCTTAATTAAATCCCAGCTTATTGAATCATAAGCCTCTCCCAAAATCAACCTTAATAGTGCACCTAGGAGGCTTGTTCTCGCAATCATACAGCTACATAATATCTTGAAAAACTAGGATATTGTGCATTATTTCTCTATCAAAATCAAAGGTTCTATGTACAGCAGCAAACATCCCTAGCAGCAGTTGCAGCACCTCTGTTGGTCTGGCACATAGCATTTCAGATATGACTTCATATATCGCATTGCAACTAGCAGTAAGTCTAAATTGTGTCATTCGAGCTGGTTGATCACAATTAGCAATCAAAGTGTTCTTGTGTCAAAAAAAAAAAAAAAAAAAAAAACAATCAAAGTGTTGCAGTAAAGCTGCTTCAAATTCTTCCCCGAGTAAAGAAATCCAGAACAGCCTCAATATCACTTCCAATAATTCACCAATAACTCCTAAAACTTTACTTAGAGAACCCATCAGCCCCTGGAATCTTTATTTCATTCATGGCAACAAAGCTCTTCTAACATCTGCACCACTAAAAGGCAGGTAAAGAAGAGACTGCTGCACTGCTGTCACTGCAGGACCCTCTACAACAATTTCCCTATTCACTAATGTTCTTGTAATGACCTGAACTCTAAGTAGCTAAGTATAAAAATTCAAAAAGCAACAGCTTAATAGGATTAGACACCCATTGACTAGATTTGATGCACCTAATTTGGACCTTTCTTTATCTCAAGCAAGTATGGAAATAAGTTATTTTTAATTCACCCAATTTCAGCAAAATAACTTTTGCCTTCGAATTAAGAAGCTCACCCTCGCACATGAGTACTTTCATCATGAAGCCTAGCACAGTAGCATCCTTTTCATTATTAATAAAGCTCTCATTTTTAGGATCCTTATTCAACTTTTCTTGACACTTGACAACTCCAAACCAACTTAAATGACCCCAGGGGACACCCTACACATTCACTTCAATTTAATGAAAGTTTCCTGAAATTGGTTCGAAAGCGTGGATTATAACCTTCAATTTTGGACAATTTTCGAATTTCCGAGGCCCAAGGAAAGAGGCTGGGGTGTTTTCCATGGACACCACAACACCCATGAAGCCCATTTGGGTGGCTAAAACCGTCCACTTTGCCTATAAACAGTCAATTTAGCCGATTACATACATGTTTCCTTTCATTAACTTAAGGCCACCACGGGCTTTTATGTGACCAACTAGTTTTTGTATATGGTTCCAAACAACATTATACAACCCCAACCATCCCATGAATTATCGATACCGGGTCCCGAAACCTCCGAAAATGGCACAATGCCAAATTACCACAAAATTGTGTTCTTAATATCATATAATAGTTCTTTAATCAACCCCTTGAGCATTTTGAAACCACAATAAACACAACAGTTCCTTGAACACTAGTCTGCCAAAACTTCTAGTGAGGAGCTTTTGTCCACAGATTATAAACGCTAAGTGGCCTTCCTCCTACAATGCAAGTATTAAAGATGTTAGCCTAATCTCGAGCCAATGACATGACTAGTAGTTACTGGGTTCTTGAGAGTCTAGGGCTTAGCAGAAGGCAAAGCCAAAATTCATGGCTTGAGGGTCTTATGGTTACTGAGGCTAATATCTGAAACAAATAGATAATGTATTCTTGAGATTAGAAAGTATATAGATCTCAACTCTTGCACCTTCCAGGCTTCCAGCACACAAGCAAAAGTCTCTAACTCAAAGGCTTCAGGGTGTCATAGTTTGATGGTAATTCGTTTCAAAGATTACCTTATATCTCATTAACTGGGGATCAATTCTGCAGGATCCTAGGCTTTATGAAGTCGAACTGTTGAGGCCTGATCAAAGCTTGGATAAGGTTAAATGTCTTATCCCAAGGCTACTCAAAGACTTAATCCAACAGAAGGACATATTCAATAACATATTTTTTTATTTTGAGAGTGTGCTGCGTCTCATATTCAATTATATAGATCAATACTCCGAAGGAATTTTACTTATGTAGAACAGAACTTTAAACCACGACCCAGCTGGCTAGCTGTGCTTGAAGATGAATGATATTAGAGTCCGAGACTAAAGGATTTAGAAAGTACCCAAATAACACAGACAAAACAAGGTTGACTCTTATATCTAAGGTTCCGTCAATGTCAAAACTTCCAAACACATCTTTCATCCATTCTCACAAGTCACAACCTAATGGGCTAACAGGCATCAAAATTAGCATCAACAGACTTTCTCCAAGACGAGATTTTCCATAATCAGCACTTCTTAAGTATACACACAGAACTACAATCTCATCCAACCAGTCCTTGCTCAGGAATTTGGTCACACCCACGAGACAAAATTCCGTGCATTAGATATTAACTAAGTCTCAAAATCTTCCAAATTTATGGTTATCTAACTGAATTTTGGCATTAATTAGTCCAAACACGGAAACAAAAACATTAAACAGATGATTATGTGTGCCCAAAACATAGTGAGGCAGGAACTAGTCTATGTAAAACATCAAAAATTACAATTAGGAAAGAGATTCTGTGACATAACAACGCTAGTAATCCAACACCAATAACAATGACAACAACAAAGCCTTATTCCCTAAATGATTCGGGGTCGGCTAACATGAATCGTCCGGAGAAACCGTCAACGAAAGTGAAGTATTGAGAGGCTTACCAGGAAACAAATTATGCTGAAAGCCATAAATAATGGCAATTGGAAATACCCACATCAAAACCGATGCAATTAAGAACTTATTCACTACTTGAGCCGATGTCGCCATACCCTGCAAAAAACTAAAAGCGGAAGAACTTCAACTACTATTATCACACTTGAAATTCGAAAAAGCTATGATCTTTACCAGAAATTGAGTGATTTACCTAAGAATAGAATTCAATTTTCTGGAAAATCTGATCTCTAAATCTTCAAAATCGATGGAATTGGAAAAGGTGGAAGAGCGTTGATCTGGGTTCTGTGATCTGTTTTTGGTGGCTGAGGAACAAGAAATTTTTTTCGATAATAAAATTAATTACCCAAGTAAACTTGACTGAGCTAGTTTAATCTTTTCCGCTTCAACTTTTACTACTCTTGCTAGTTGCTACCCTAAAGCTAATTTTCAAACTTGAGGATTTTATGTTTGCATATGAGAGCAATGCAAAAGTGAAATTGTAATGTAGCAACTAAATTGAGACGGATAAAATATTTGTTATGGGTAAATACAATGCTTGTAATTTCTAATTTTGATAATATATTTCTTGCAATTATTATTTTAAAGGGAAATATTGTTTTAAAACTCTAATTATAGTTGACATTGAAACAATCTTTAACCATATATATGTTGAATAGTTTTATTCATCTGGGAAGCACTGTGATACACAACTACTCTGTATAAAGGCCATGTCATCCCTGTATAAATTTTAGCATACTTCAACGATTTTTACTAATATAAAATAATTTTAACTAATAAAATCCCTTATTAAAGCGTATTTTGACATATTGAATCATCGATATATAAAAAAATGCTAGTGTCTAGAGTGCATTAGAGCTTAAGCTCATGGAGTAAGTTGTGCGCACCTTCCTGCACATCGCATAATACACACTAGTTGGGCTCGGATGAACAATACTTCTACAGTTTGCCATTTATTTTGCTCTTTTCACCTTAAAACTCATTCTGAAATTATAGATTTATATGAACTTGTCAAAACTTGCATTTCGTGTGAGCTAAAGCTAGGTAGCCCTTATCTTAATTTTCGTCGATTAACGTTAACTAAAACTTTTTCTTTAAGGTGAGGTGAAGAGAACAGACTGCCTCTGGACACTTGGTCCGCAACCAAGGGACAGACAAGTAATACATTCACTGATTCACTAGAGCATGCCAACTCTTTAGATCCAAAAAATCATGTCATTTTAAGTCTGATAACAAACTGACACCGAAAACTGAGACGGCAATTAAAAAATCAACAGAATCACAAAATTTCTGCCAAGGAACTTCATATCTTTGTGGTTCATTTGGATTGCAATTGACAGTAAGTACCCATTGCAGCTCCAAGATGTATCAGCTACTAAAAACAATACAGTTAACTACAAAAAAGAGGGGAGAAAAAAAAAAGAAAGAAAAAAAAGAAGAAAAACAGAGCTCTACAAGTCTACAATTCTATAAATATGCACTTTGGAGGAAAATTTTGAGCATCTCCTTAAACCTAATTGGCTATGGACTAAACACTACAAGAAAAGTTTGGGAATATACAGATGGGTCTTGGACATGCCAGTGCAACAGGAAAAAAACCCATAAAAATGTCACTGTAGCTGCTTAACAGCTGGCTTATCAGATGTAAACTGGCTTCACATCATTTGGGCCAAAGCTTGCGGCACACACAGGGCACTTGCGATGGCGGGATTCAATTACTTTCTGAACACATGGACTGCATAATAGATGGTAGCATTTTGTAATTACAACCTGAAAAAGTTTGCCAAAAACAGAGTATCAATAGCAGAAAGAAGTCATTTGATTATCAAAGGATTCTTGACTCTCGACAAGTTGTAAGTTCTATAATTTTGAAAGATCAGGTAGCAGGAGCAAGTACCTCCTTTGGTCTATCGAGGCAAACACCACACTTAAGTATTTCCTTGTATTCTTGCAGCTCCTGCTGAAGCTTTTCTGCAACAGAAACCCTCTTTTTGCAGTTTAAGATATTCAGCTTTCCTCTTTACTGCTTCCAATTCCTCCTCTACCCTTTTCTTCTCAAACCTGACGAATCAGCAACCCTCTTTTGCTTTATATTGCCAAACGAAAGCCGAACTTTTTGTTTAAGGTATGTGAGAAAATATATAATAATATACCTTTCTTTCTCCAACTCTATCTGCAAGTTAGAAAGGTTTGCTCGACCATCTTTGACTCTACTTTGTAGTCCATCCAAAGTTTCTTTAGCCAGCTGAGAAGACTTTCTTGATTCTAACAGCTTCCTTTGGATATTTTCCAATGAAACTGAGTTTTGACACCTATCTTCTGCGTGTCTATTGATCTGGTCGGAGCACATTTTCACCTGCTTATCATGTACAGCCTGTCATGTAATTATATTCATAGTAAGATGACATGATACGCATATAAAAGTCTAAACCTACCTGATCCTCAATTCTTGCAGCTTTCATTTCAAAAAAGTCTTGTGAAACACTGCCCTGCTGTATTTTCTTCTGCAGACTTTGTTTCTCCGCAAGTAGAAGATCATGTGACTGTTTACTGCGCTGGCCTTCCAGTACAAGCTAAATCACATGAGGCCAACCAAAATTAAAATTTTGAACAAAAATGAACACATATTTCTAAGACGTCAATGCACTACAATTTTCAAAAAGCCACCATTTTGTTCGCAGATCATAAAGCAAACTAAGAACACTACAATTATTATATAGCACAGGTAAATGAAATAAGATAGTATTCCACGTCTAATTTCAAAAATTAAGCAGAGCATTTACCAAGGTCCCAGCCTCTCTACCGGAAAAGAAATGGCCACACATAGATGATTGGAAACATAATTTTTTTGAAGAAATTAATCCAGACCAACCTTTAACCAAATTGTTTCACCAACCTACCAAGTCACTCCTAGAGATTAATAAAAATCAAGATTTTAAAGGAGCTTCAAAGTTAATGTGTACTTATATCCACAACTGTTTGCATGTAAATGACCAGACAAATGTGTTAAACCTGAAGAGCTGCAAAGGGTGTGTCAGCTTCTCCACAAAGAAGCATTAAACCTATTATGAAAAAAATATATTCAAGTGACAATAATAGATTTGTGGTGGAAAAAAAATAAATTTACCCTTCAAAATGACATTTCTTGACCATTAAAAATATTGTCAATTTTTAAGGCTCCAAGTACCTCTCTGATATGCTCAAGAGCTTACCAAGTCAGGTCACACATCACAAACAGGTAGTACCGTAGTAAATATTGAGTGATGCATAAAATTCATCCAAAGAAATTTCCCACATAAAATGTGTAGCCAAGAAGCATTACAAGGATAAAGTAATGAGTGCAAAATTCCAATCACCTTGATGTTATAGTCGTCTCTCTCAGTAATTTGCTGCAACAAGTGCTGGTTTTGGTTTTGCATGTCATCATAGGCCTGTCCAATAGTCTGAAATGGCATACCAGATGAATATTATATGTACTGAGCAGCTGAATAGATATTAAAAATGAAATGAAACATGAATTAACCTCGATCTCAGATAAGTAGGCTTCATTCTCTTCATGCTTAGACTTCAATGCATTTGAAAGCTTTGACTTGTCCCTGAAATACAAGGATATACACAAATAAATAAGAACTCCTAGATCACAAGATATAGAAGTGTTACAAAGCAACATAGAGTATTATACATGTAACATTAATAACAATGATTTTAATGTGTATTATTGTCATAGTTTGTAAACTAGATCCATTACAGGACAAATGTTTTTGATACTTACACTTAACCCTCGGGTGGGTGAATCAAAACTACTACGTATTTTTTTTTTTTTTAATATTACAAAATGAGAATATAAATGTCTATTTTAAAACATCATACTTAACTATCCTAATAAATTCACGAATGCACATTGAACCACTTAACTGTTTCAATTCTGAGTTTCTCACAATGCTAACACACGATTGGTTAAATCACACTCATAATCGCAGTACAGTCCACGGGAAGATAAAATCTCATTTTGAAATTCAGTACCGGTAAAAAAATCCCAGAGATCCCTCTTTTATTTGTCATCAGACTCATCACATTATTAAAAACATTATATAGTGTGTCGAAACACCTGCAATGACTACCTCACCAAGCATGAAGCCGAGACTGGCTTGATCCTAGTCCCTTAACAGTGGATCAGCCAAGAGAAAACCTGTAAAAACCCTAGGGACCCATCGAAACTACCTTAGTACCTTCACAAAAAAAAACTCAATTTTTCTTCACTATTTTAGGCCTCCCTATCCTTATCCAGTTAGAAATGAGAAAAACAGGAATAAAGGATAAGAAAAGCACCTGATTAAGATGAAAGCCTAAACAGGAAAAGGCAGCTAAACTTCTACTTGAGAAAGTGAGGGTGCAATTATAAACTATATGTAACGGATAGATGTTAAAGAAACCACCAAGCAGCAATAGCTCAGACTTTGAATAAGATATGCAAACAAAACTAATTACTACCTTTGTTTCCTTTTGTTTGCCTCATTGGGGTTTTGTTACTTTTTATTTCTGGCTGGGTAGAGTTAATCAAAGACAAAATTGGTAGGACCAAATGTAATGGATGTGAGAGTAAGGTGGTAGGTCCTTCATAGTTGTTATTGTATGAGGAAAACTCAAACGAACAACCCAAAGTAGAAAAAAGGCATTACAGAGGGAGTAAATCATAACCATACACGGTTCTTCCTTTCAGAAGATCAAAAACTAATATACTTTTATTTGCATCAGTTCATACACATTGCAACAGCAAGTAATTCTGCACAACCACACAATACCTAACCTTTCAGAGGATTCAAACTTCTCCCTTAAGTCTGCAATTTCAGCTTCTGCAGCAGCTAGGCGTTGTTGGGATTGGGCTTCAGCTTCAATAGCTGTTTTCACACGTATTTCCATATTGTGTTCATCAAGAGAAGACTTCAGGTTATGCACATGAGCCCATGCCTGGTACTCCCTATCCCTTGCCTCTAAAAAAATTCTGCAGAGCATGTAAACCAGTTGAAAAAATTATCAAATAATTGTAGCAAATATATATGACATGTCTGAAGACAATTATACAAAGCTTGAAACAATTTTAAGACCTAATTGCTTCCCACTCCTCACTTTTAGGTTTACACCAAAATATAATGAACAACAATATCAAACTTTGAACTAAATTCTGCACCATTAGCTCACTAGAGTCACTACCTCCCATGTAACTCCTGCAGAAGGTGGGCTCTACCCGATCTATCCACAAGTATAGCAGGGAACTTATTTACATTTCCTTGAATCAAGAACACTAACAAAATGCTACCTCATAAAAATTAAGTACAAATAATTAAGGTTTGACGTCACAATTAGTTGCTCCTATTAATTAAAAACTTTTCAAGAAAACAGTTTTCCATAGATGATTTATAAAAAGAACAAAGAAGTAATACAAGCAATCTCAGACAAGAAACATTATGTTTGGCATGCTGATAATTTTTACTTATACTCTTTAATGAACAGAGATCCATAAAATTAGATTTAGTTTCTTTCAAAAAAAAGGAAAATTAGATTTAGTGATATCAGCAGACTGAAGGACAAATGAAACCATCAATTTCACAGGAATCACATTACAATATATGTAGCAAGATAACTAAGAAATGACTCTAACATTGTCCAACCTTGGTAAGGCAGATTCACGTCTGTACATCTCCACAATAAGCTGTAGTTCCGTATCACTCTCTTTCAGATCCTGAACCTGCAAGATTTTTCAATAAAGGCAGCTCAGAGTTTTATCTCAATAATAATCACCGAGGAAGTATAATAGGAGCATATTTTGAGCAGTAAAGGGTCAAAAATATCATTGCTCATAGGATGAGGATCCTCTATGATACTGGAAGCTCCAAAATCTCACAGTTTCCAAGATTAACAAGATCTTGAACTGTTGGACATTTGGAAACCATCTTATGAGATTGTCGCCACATTACAGACTAACAGGATTAGGGATATATTTGCAAACGAAAAGGCACCGATTTACACAAATATAAAAGAAATAATTAAAAAATAATACTAATAATAATAATAATAAAAAAAAAAAAACCCAGCAATAAGAAACATAAAACCTATAATATCCTTAAAAAAAGCAGACATTAACATTTTGTAAAGTCCAAGTGTCATCAGAACACAAAATGACAGCTAAAATACACACTTAAACACTCCCCAGAAAAAGGTTGTACAGAAGTAAGAGAGAGGTGGGAGGGTGGGGTAGGAATAACTCTAAAAGGCTCTAATTACACAATTCAGATTTATTGCCAGAAAAAGGAATACACTTAGTTCCTTTCCGCTCCTAATCTCCTCTACTCTGTTTTTTCACACTTCATAAAATTAATTGGACTTCCCAAGTGAATGTCATCAAAACATCGTAAAATCTAACAATTCTACGAAATGCCCACATTAACATTATATCAGCAGACCCAGACTCCCATAATCTGGTCAAGCATCTCTTTAAGAAAATTAAAAAAAGATAAAACTAAGGTGTCATCACGCTATGCATTTAGAAAAATACAGCATTGATGCCTTAAAATTCACAGCAAGACATACCGCAGCCAGTAGTCTCTGTATTTCGGCATCTTGATCAGCTGATCTACTAGATAATGTCTCCAAATCTTTGGCCTGCCAATAAAATTCACATCAGCCTACAGGAACTATCACATATATAAGCAAGCAAGAAATAGTGATGGGAGATTCACCTTCCTGGCAAGAACATTGGAGAGGGATTGTACTTCCGCACGCAGAGCATGGACATCAGCAGCTGTTTCCTTGTACTTGTGTAGTTTACTTTGCATAGAACTCATGTCCTCAGGGAATGAAGAAACAAATTCCTTAAAGTTTGAAATTATTTCTTTCCTTCCTGAACAAACAGAATGTTTCAAGACCATATGCAACTAATGCCAAATATTTCTAACTAATTTAAAACCTCAACTACCTGGTTCTATAGAAGCTTCTTCCAACTTGGCTTCTATTCGCTTTCTTTCATCATTTTGTCTTTGAATCTCAGATTCAAGCTCATCAATTCTAGAGCTAGCAGTGGTCAAAGTCCTTCGAAAAACATCGCCAAGATCATTTCTTACCGCTACTTCTCTTTCTTTCCAAATAACCTTATCTTTCTCGATCTGGAATGTCCGATGTGAATCAAAAGTCAGCAACATCATAAATTTACTCCTGAAAGTAACCAGATGCATGCACATGTAAAATTACCGACCAGTAACAACCTGAAGTTTTTCAAAGAAGGCTTGATACTGGATAACATCAGCTTTAGACTTCTCAAGTTCTTCTTTCACTAGCTTAAAAGCGCTAGCACATGATATTAACTTCACATTTTTCAATGTACCCTGTCATAAAAACTATGGAATCAGTAATTTGCTATTTCTGGATTCTGGAACATTAGTCAATACAAAAAATTCAAGAAAAAAAAATAGTTGAGGTAAAGCATTAATGACGCCACCTAACCTGCAAACTGGAAAGCTTCTTCAAAATTTCTATCCTTTCCTCATGCAAACTCTTGAGTTCTTGTAGTCGGGAAGATGACTGAGCCTGCAAAAATAGCTACAAGTTAATAAACTGAGCTTAGTCTAATCCAGCAAACACTAAAAATCCAGTACTCTACCAATGACTCCTTCAATGTTGATTCCAAATTTTGCAGATCTTCTTTTTGTTTGTCTTCCGTCCTGTCATTTGAGGTATGCTTATTTCCCATGTTCAAAACTGGGAAAAATGTCCCCTTTGTTGCATCTTTCTCTGCTTTTATAGCTGCCAACTTATGGTTACTTTCTTCCAGCTCTAAGATGACACTCTCCAACTCCTCTGCACAAGGACATATACATTACCAAACCAGCACATACTAAACATACCCCCCCCCCAAAAAAAAAAAAAAGAAAAAAATATATATAAAAATCAAGAAGAATTCACAACTATAAAACTTGAAAACATTGAAAGAGATTGGACTTAAGAGACAATTGCCCTGCAACTTGTTGCTATTAATGGAAGTGAAAGAACATAGAGGATATTTATCAAGGTTCCATGTGGGTTCATTCACTCCCAAGAGCCAAACAAAACTATAACAACAGGATAGTAGTTGGTAATCGATTCTTAGAACAAACGATCCATGTTCCAATTCTTAAACAGGCCAAAAGCTGAGAGCAAACTCCCATCTAACTTGCTGCGCTTCTTTGGTGAGAATTGGTACACTCCACAGGTCTTTAACCAACATGAAAGAAAAATGCAGCAACTGTCATGCAAAAATACCGATATTTGGGTGGAGTGTGGTATTTTGGTTGAGATAGTAAGTGTTTAAGTTGGAGGGGAGTGAGAAGGAGGATGGTGTGAAGGCTTAAAATGGGTTGTGCTGTGATTTAAAAGGTAGAGAAATGGGGTTTATTAAAGAAGTCTTGGGACTTTAATGGTGGGGCAACCCAATTTGAATCTACAGCTTTCATTACTATCATTAGTTTCCTCCCAGAGTCACAGGTATATTTATTTGCTGTGTCACCCATTAAGAAATTTCACAACTGCCCCTAACAAGATCTTCTAGAATTGCCTTATTCTACGAGGCAATAGAGAATATGTTAGAACTCTGATTTTCCTTCTCTGCTCCATCTGATGGTCTCTGTAGGAAGCTGCCTTCCCAGACTTTCCACCAGCCTCCTCCGTCATTCTAATCTCCCAATAACATCACCCGGACCACCGGCAGAACATCATTTGGCGAAGAGGCCTGGACAACATCCAAAACCGCCAATCCACCCTCAACTTTACTACCAATAAAACAACCTCCACCGGTGTGAAAAACACAAAATTTTCGAAATCTCTTCTCACATACTTATCTTCAGATCTGTACTCTCTATCTCTTCATCCTCTTTTTCTTCAATCATCGGATTAGTTTGGTTGTCTTCCTCCTCAAGATCCTATTAAATTTGCCTCAACTCCAGCTTGATTGTAGAGAGAGCTCCAACAATTATTTTCCCCAAGGTTTTATGAAGGTTCTTGTAATCCCTTCTTATTATTGCCACCATTGTTTCAAAGAGTTTCTTTGCTATCTCCTATCCAGCGCACTCCATCATTGCCATTTTTATTTTTTTATTTTTTTTTTGTGTGTGTGGGGGGGGGGGGGAGGGGGGAAGAAATCTATTGAAGCAATTAATTCTTCCAGAACATACTCCTTCCTGTTATGAACTAGCATTACTAGACCAGAAATTAGCGGGAGAAGAAGGTGAATTAGATTAATGAAGCTGAAATAATAGAAAATTTAAGATGGCCATCAATTATTCGAGGGACTTCACACTCTCCCAAACTAAGTAAGAGAAAAAATAAACTTCTCAACTCTTCTCGTAATGCCTACTCTTCCTATCCTCCTCTATTTATATAGATTTCTTGATTCCCTTTACTTAAAATTATATCCTGCCTTTATCGAGTTTAATAACTAATTTATTGAGCAAATCCAATTATAACTCTCTAATGGCTGGTTATTACACAATTATATGGGGACTACATGATGGCTGATAATATTCTAGTAGCTCAAGGAAGCTGATATCTGATGTAAAGTAATGGAAACTTGAGTGAACTGCAATATCTTATGGCTTGGACAACAAAAGGGCAAGATCATGACTTAATGAGAACCAAAGATTGTCAAAGACACTGCTGAAAGTCAGTAATCTATAACTAATACTAAAGTAGCAACTGTTGATGTCATCTTTTCCCAAAGCTGTACACGTGGCGCTACCTCATGAAAAAAATTTCCTCTCAAATGTTAAGCCCATCTATCTATATACCTAAACTATATTAGAGTTTTCTTTTGGAGGGAATTTTTCCTCCTTTAGTCTTTTTTTTCGTTTAGATTTTTGCAGAATTATTAATGTGTCTAGAAACTTTATACTTTAATTAATTATATATTATTATGATGGACTTTAAGATCACATTTTTCGTGAGACTTCTATATTTAATTTCAATTACCCTCATTAAAAACCGAGCATGGCTCGGGTAATATCTAGTGTAGCATCAAATTAAGAACCAACCATACATTCTTCAAATCTACAGTACCCTAACTCTTCAAAGCTGTTAAACTATTAAGAACTACAAAAGCTTTGTTATTCGGATGTTCAATTCAAATTTCACCCTAAGTACCCACTTCCCATCCTCGACAGTCCAACTTGGTAAAAAAACAACAGACAGCGTTTGACACTCCATTTTGGACCCCAAATATCAAAATAAATACATTTACTAGCCAAGTCTGACACTTGCCATATTCTTGTGACCTTGTCTAACAAAAATACCCAAGTCTTAATGACACATATTTAACGTATCCGCGTAGATAGTTCACCTACCATCTTTCAAAGACCATAGCATCCATAACCATTTTAGGTGTAACTTATGCGGCAACATAGGTATGGCTAGTCAATTCCAAAAGTCAAAATAACCACACTCCAATGTGAGCATGGGACAACCACGATAAACAGTAAATGCATCGTGTAAAATTCAGTAAACATCACTAGGATGTTTGATAGAGATTACTTGGCTTATAGGAATACCTACTGAGACAATATAAATGATATGGTAACATAATTGATTACAATATTGTTAAGAGACTTAAATTAAGAGTAAACATGCATTAATTTATAATATAGATATTATACATTAATACATTTACACTCTTAACAAATATTACAATTGGAGAGGTCACCTATGACAATGAAGATGATAAATATTAGCAGTGGTAAAAGTTACCTCGCAAATAAACCAGTTCGGCTTTATTCTTCAAATCACCATCCTGATGCTTACGCAGTTCATTTGCAAGTGATTTGTGTTTCAAATGAAGATCACTAAGAGCGGAGCGCAAATTCCTAACTTCTGCTAACATATCATTGGATGGTTTCTGCCTGCATGAACCTTAAACACCCAAAACAAATGGAGATTAAGCATGAAAATATACTCATTAAGGGGAATACCCAACAAATATATATATATATATATATATATATATATATATATATATATATATATATATATATACATTCAAGCAAAGAAAACCGCACTTACCATCCTCTGGAAGTGCTATCAATACAGCAGCGTATAATCCATCTTTCATATGACACAAGTCATCAACAGCAGTCCCTATATTACGCACAATATTTCTGGATTTTTCACAAGCTTTATCCCCATCTTCTATCATCTGATCAAGGGAATTAGTAGCTAAGCATGGTTCGGGTGAGCCTGTTTTAAGTCGCTTTAAAAATACATCATCAGCAGAGGAGGAAGAACCATCTGATCCACAGTCAATATGAATAAAATTAGCCACAACAGTATTTACTTGACCTCAGTGCAAGACCACAAGGCACAAATACTCTGTTCCTCTACACTATAAAACCCCTATCTACATGGAACAATAAATGATAATCTTGATTGACTCTCCATATATAATTAAAATGCTTTGTAAGTTAATAAACAGTACCAAATTCCCCAAACCAATCACATGGACATTATTGAGTGGAAAAGCAAGGGTAACATCACATCCTCCAGAATGACAAAGCTAAAATGTTTTATGCCCCACATTATTTTAAAATCAGGTCATATACATAGGCATTCAAAGCAGCATAAAGTATACAATGAATAAGCACAACAAGCTACTAAAAGCATAGTAGCCTATATAAGCAATTCAACTTCTCGCCATAATTACAAGGTGCTTGTGAGATTATCAACTTTGTTGTCTTCCTAATCCTTGATCTTAGTGAGTCAGGCTAGCAACAGAAGGTAGGGCTACCAGAGAACAAGGGAAGAAAAAGGCCTTATAAAAGGTTAATTTTGCAGAAAATAACAGCAATACAGCTACCAGGGGAGGTGCACTGTTAAGGTACAATGACCAATCCAAGAGTATGGAAAGCATATTCATAGTTCCTACATGCCACCTCTGATGCCCATTTAATGTATAAAAAGGCTCAAGGCGCAAAGAGGCGATGAAGGTCCTGCTGTGCCTAGACGTGCCTCTTTGAAGTGCGGTGCACAATATAAAACAATTAAAGAAAATTTGCCTCAGGTGCGCCTTAGGTGCACAGGTGCGCCTCTTTGAATGCGCCTTGCCTAGAGCAAAAAAGGCGCTATATCCTAATCGCCTAGTGCCTCAACACCTAGGCGCGCCTTTTTATGCACTGTGCACATTTAAAGCATAGGTCGGAAAAAACAAAAGTCCAATCCTAAATAATACCTCCCTACGAAGTTTTGTTTAAGAAGACAAACAAAAATGAACATGACAGGTTTCTAATTTAACAACAGGAGAATCACAGGATGAGAAATCAATAAATTTTGAAGCATTCAAATGAACACCTTGCCATTTTTTTTTATTTTACCTGGTAAATTAGACAAGGCTGAAGGACTCCTGAAGTTAACAAAATCCCAAAATGAGAAACATAAAGTGTTGCTTACCTTCCGTAACTCCTGAAAGAAGAAAATTTCCCCCACTTCTAACCATGCCTTTGATGTGAACAGATCGGGCTTCCACATCATCAAGAAGCTACCCAAAAAAAATTACATAAAATTAGAAATTTGAAATGAAGTCAGGGGCTAAATCTAAAGACATAAAAACAGTGGGCATGATACCTAATAAGCACGAAGCCTAAGCATGATAGCTAGAAAGATGTCGATAAAATAAAAAAAATGATGAAAGCATGACCTAAATTTACCTTATTCCAGCTATTATTAACCACTGCCAACAATTTTTCAAATGACTCTTGCTTCTCTTTCCGCAGTGCCAATTTTTTCTCAAGGGATGTTATTTCCATCTTCTGAACATCGAGCTTCTGAGCCAGCTTCTGATTTTGAAACTGAAGTACAGCAGTGTCAATCTACAACACAGAAGAAGGAGAATATATCAATCAACATGAGCATTATATTCATGACATATAAAAAAAATCTAGAGCAAATAGACTATTCCTTCAGCCTCAATATTTTTGTGTTGCTTCTCTAAAAGTAAAACCCAACCAACAGGCATATCCCCTCAGTAAAAGAGAGTAGAAGAATGATGTACAAAGGCTCAATCCAACAACCACTTAAATCGACAATTCATGTCAAAGATGCAATCATGCAGTATGCAAATACACTTCATCTGCCAAATCATGCGCATTATTGCAATCCAGACAAAAAAAAAATGCAGTAAGGTTCATAATCTTGTAAGGGATGGAAAATTTATATTGATTGGAAATCAAGAGGGTAATCGATAATGAAGAAATGGTAGATCTTATATATTTTTTATATATATATAAAAAAATAATTATAAAAAAAAAAAAAAAAAAAAAAAAAAAAAAAAAAAAACCTCAAAAACCATTTTATCATTCGTGTGTCTATTTAAAACTATGTCCAAGTATATCCACATCTAATTTGGTTTCATTTGTTAAAGGGAACAATAAATGATGGAACCATCACATGGAAGTACATCTGAAAGTTCCCTCATTGTTGTCCAAAACTATGTCCAACTTATCAAGTTTCGAGATAAAGAGGGGGAGGAACATAGGACTATTACTGATAGTCTAATTTACTGTAAATCCACTGGCTTCATCATAGAACATTTATTACAACAACAACAAAGCCTTAATTGCAAAGTTATATAAAGTACTATCAAGAAAATCGAAGATAGGTAACAAAGCAGATAGAATTTTGAACACTTTTCCGGCAACCTAGATCCCAAAATTACAAAACAGATTGTCTTGTGAACCACTTACAATTAATTATACACCTACCAATCCAATCAAAATAAGCACATCGCAGAAAGATTACACATAAAATAAACAGGCACATGAGGGAAGCTAAATCAATCGAGTAGGTACTGTTAACAGCCACATTCAAATCACATCACAATCTTGGCCTACCTATGACCAGGGATCTGGAAAGGGAGATGTTAAAATGCTTGCAAATAAAACCCTAATCGCCGCCAAGCCAATATACCATCCAAGTTATGCAAAAAAACACCTACCAATTGCCAAGAGCCTTGTTGGGTGTTTAATGGAAATGTACAATTAATGCAATTTTAATGACGGTTTATGTCTCATTTCCAAAAAAAAACAAAAAATCATGTTTAGGGCCATACATATTCATTACTGTCTACCAGCTTAGTTAAATAAAGTCTTGGGGTGATAACCATGAGTTCATGACCTATGATCAAATCCCATCTTACCTCCGTGCTAAAAAGGTTCCCTATAGTCCTAAAACAAATTAGCAAACATTTTTATATGTTCATTCGTCTTCACTATTTAACATAGCTCAAAATTGAAATCAAAGTAAGGGAATAGAATCCATTTCACTACCATGACATCCTCGGTAGGTATTAATGGGTAAGTCTCCGAAATTAAACTAGTAACGTTTCCCTACCAATTCCGCCAAAAACTATCCTTATACGAAAACGTGTCATAAGTGCAAATGAATAAGGTAAACTTCAAAGAGAACCCGCGAAAATCATATACTCAACATGCATAAACCACGAAGAATACCAAGTTCCATAAGATTACATTAACATCAATTTAACCAAATCAAACACAAAAGCTAGAATAAATAGCACAAATAACATCAGAGCAGAAAAACCAATCCAAATTTCTATCAACAAAATGCAAGCAATCATGCAAAAAGGGAATTGCAATAACCAAAACCTTCTTGTCCTCAGAAATAGGCGTGAAAGGCGGTTTCTTGGCCATGGCAGCAGTTGCAGTAGGAGAAATAGAGCTCAAATGACGTCGTTTACGGTCTGTCTCCCCTGTACTCGCCATTGATGAATACCTCAAATTGCAAAACCTCCCAATAACTATTGAGGGGCTAAGATTCTCATAAAAGGGCACCAAAAAAACGAAATTTTCAATCCAAACACCCAGAAATCAATACAATCAGGACTCATAATTCATCACAAACCAATTAAATGGAAAATCATGAAAAACCCTAATTTGAAACCCTTTAAAAAGCTGCGAAACCCTAGTTTTTCAGCGAAAATAAAATTGGGGAAAAAAGGGGTAAAATTAAATGTTTATCAACGAAATTTCTCCCTCTACAATTCAATCAGAGTGTTTCAGAGTGAATTGTGACTGATCAATCACTCTTTCTCGATTCTCAGCAGTGTGCTTGAATTGTGAATAATATCAAAGGAAAAAAATACAGGCTTTTTCAACAAACAAGAGAATTATTTTTATTTCATTTTTTTGCTGTCAAAAAATGAAAATATGAGCACACAAAATTAATAATAAGACATTTTTTTATTGACAGGTGAGGATATTCCGTTTTCCAGAAACTATTTGGATTAATAGGACAGATATGCCCCTGGTTTCTCTCTGGCTATGAAATGTCTTATGATTTTTTACTTTTTATTCACGATAAACTATTGCGGTGATTGTTTTGGTTGGACAAACAAAATTTTAACTTCTCAACTTACATTGATACTCTTGTGTGGTGAGGATAGACATTATTTAGATTATTATGACAGATACGAGTATGTTTCAATTCTCATTTGCTAAAAAAAATCTTCTGAATTCATACTCTGTATTCATGATAAACTATTGTCGTGATTGTTTTTTTTGAACAAGCATATTCCGTAGTAAGAATACAACTTTACCTTTCTTGATTTACCTTAATACTCATGACAGGTATGCCCTTGGGTTCTTTTGGCTAAATTGTCTTCTGAATTCCTACTCTGTGTTTATAGATAAACTATTATCGTGATCATCTAATTGAACAAACATAAAATATAGTAAAAATGCAATCGTAACTGTTAATTTACCTTAAAATTCATGTGTGGCTGGTAATGATCATTCTCTTGTTAACCATTATGAGCATCTCCTCCTATTTTCAGTCCACTTAACCTTTTATCTGCCAATAGTTGTAACAATACAGTTTTTAGTAGAAATTACATATAATAAGAAATAATACTAATTTATGTTAGCACCTCCTCAAACTTCGTACCATATACATGTATTACTTCTAAGTGTATCTACCATGATGTCAATGGTAACAGAAAGCCAAGACAAATAGACTATTGATGGTGGTAGTGAAATAAGAAGTAAGTAGGTGAAAAAAGGTTATGAGAAGGGTGGATGTACAAGGGAAGTTAATGAGTGACGTTAGATTTAAGTGAGGATAAATTAGAAAGTTTAAATATGTTTTACAGTTAGATATTTAGTGGAACCTCAAAGTTATCTTGGTAGTTTATATGTACAATTAAAGCTGGGCACGGGCCGGGCTGGCATGCGAGCCGCCCGGCACGGCACGCTTCTCGGCGAGGCACAGCACGGCCCGGGGTGGAGGCCCGACCTGGCACGGTGGCCCGCCGGCGTGCCGTGGGCCGTGCCACGGACAGGAGCTGCACTTTTCGGCACGAGCCCGCCGTGCTAGCCCGGCCAGGCACGCCCTATATATATAAATATATAAATTATATATTTATATATATCTGTTTATTTATATAGTGTAAACATTAAAAAAAAAAAAAAAAGAAGAAAAGCACGGCGGCCCGCAGGCCAACACGAAGGTCGGCACGGCACGAGCCCGCCAGGCACGAGGGTCGTGCCAGGCCGTGGGCTGGCCTTTGAAATTGGCCGGCACGGCACAAAAATCTGGGCACGCCGGCACGCCCGACACGGCACATCGGTGACCGTGGCCCGCCAAGCACGGCCCGCGGCGGCCCGGCCCGGCACGATGCCCAGGTTTATGTACAATGTCAATTTGGTATATGTGGGTAATTTGGTTCATGAAGAGTCATATTACACCAAATTGATGGAAATTACTAAGAGATATACGTTAATGGGTGTTAAAAATTAGGAATCAAATTTGCCAAAAATGGTTATTCAAATTAATACTTGTATTTCTGTACACATGAAATCATCTAGTACACATTTTTTTTTTAATATAAATTAAGGAATTAAATTTGACATGCATCGTAAATTTAGATAAATTCTCTAAAATTTGACATATAACTCTATACAATATAATAATAACTAATAACTAATAAGAGCTAGTTAACAAATTGTCCAGTTATACTCACACGTTATATTTAACCTAATTCGGGTCGTTCAACCCATCCATTAATAATCAAACGCACATTAATATATAAAGCATCAATTTAAGCTAGTAAATTTATCATCCCACTACCTTTGTACTTAAATAAATAAAGAAAAAATATCATAAAAAATATTCCATACCAGACGAATATTGTTGCCGATAGCATAAAAAATTAATGGGTTGTCATGATACAAGCTCATGTTTGATAGCTCAACCTTAATTCAACACATCTAATAAGCAAAGTGTGTATGGTTAGTTGGTTACCCCTTACTAATATTTTGCCTAAATGCGAAATCGGGCCATATAGTCAATCATGTTAAACTTTAGTCTGATATCAACTTTGTTTATAGAACAAGTATATAGTGAAGGGTAAAAGAAAGCAAAACTAAGTGGATATAACTTTGGCTTTAGGGATGACACTAAAATCTCAGACATTGAATCGTTCACATCACTACCATTTGTAGTCTTTCTGTATTAAATAAATCAAATCTGCAATCATGGATAATATCATATGTACTTTTCTTAAAGGTGATCAAAGTTAGCCGAAGTGCTGGCCCAACCTACAAAAGGGTAAAAAGGGTTTGAGCAAAATTTATGGGCCCGAAATTTGGGTTCAACACAACGCAACCCTTTTTTATATTTATTTATTTTTTGCCTTTGGGCAACCTAACGAATATTTTTTTAGTTAAAATTTCTTTATTTGATTCAAATTACTATGTACATATAAATTCCCCATTGTCAAGAGTTATTGATTGGTAAAAGAAAAAACAACAGCATACAAAGTATCACCTTAAACAGTTAAACACCTTGGGTTAAAGGTTCTTCTAATCAGCTGCCAGAAACTGAGAACTCCTTTTCTAATTCAAGTGGTGTATATATACATACAGGGGGTAGGATTACATAATGCACTCTCCTGGGACTAAAACATGGGAGGTGAGAGGCAAGGGTCAATCTCAGGCCGATGCCAAAAACCATGAGGGTGTCATCACTAGGCTATCTTCAATGCCTCATAAAATACAATTCATTAATAGAAAGCGATGTATCAAGCGTATCCTTTACTTTTTACAAAGGGCAGAAACACCAGTCCTATCATCATTCCTCTTTCAAACCAAGTTCCTGACTCCTCCGTTGCCCTACTTCCCAGAGCAGCTGTATGAGAGCCTCACACATTTGTGAAGCATTAGCTTCAGTTGGATCATCATTTGATGATGAATACACCATCCATGCATGGTCCAACTTTCTTTTTGGGTGAACTACCACTGAGCCAGGGACTTCAGCGTCACGACAAGTCACAAGGCCATCACTCTTCTCCCCATACCTGACCTGAAGAAGCTGGGCACATGCAGCCATTGCACCTCCAAGCGGTATCATCACAGGAAGTTTTGCAGCCTGACCTAGTTCTGCATGTGCCACATGAGATAATGTCGCCAGTACAGCAGGGGAGATTTTAGCTTCTGTATGAAATGATACAACAGGCAGTTCCTTGGGTAATGGATATTTCTTCAAAAATTCCCGTCTTTTCTCATATGTCAAGTCTTCTAAAGCTTGCAGATCACCCTTCAAAATAGAGACACAGACAATATTCAGAAGACTTAAAATTTAAGCTTTAAAAAATAAAGTTAAATCACCAACAGTAGATCGACATAACAATCAAGAATATGAAAGAAGTCAGCAGGAAGACAGAGCTCACTGACTCACTCTTGCATCATGTAGTCAACGCAGAAAAAAATAGCTGGATTCCAGCTTAAATTTAATAAATACAGGGAAGAAATCTAATATTCTACACTCAAAAGGAAAACTCAAAATTTCTTACCAAATCCCACATCCTACTAAAACATGCTTTTAGTCCAGTCATCACATGTCTATTTACGCTTTCCCATTTCCATTTGACGTAAAGGCAGCATTTTACTGCTACTTCAATATTTCAGAAGGCATCTACTGGGATTATGTTAATGTTGAATTTGTCAATGTACTCATGCATAAATTCATTAAACAATAAAATTTCATCATATCAACGCAATGGAGAAAGGACGAAAGAAAATAAATCCACAGAAGAAAGCACGAATTCAATGCAAGAGAACATTATAAGAAGAATACCTTAATTACTTTGCAGATCAGAATTTCCATGAGTTTACGTGCATTGACATAATCACCAAGTTGTCCTGGCCTTAGAATATCTGAAGCTATTGGACTACCACCATATGGACTCTGAGCTAATACCAAGCCAGCAACCTTATCCTTCAGATCTGGCCAATACATAGACAAAGAAGCAGCTGCATCTACTCCTCCTTTGCTATGACCCAGCAGCATGACACGCTTATTAGAACCCCAATATATCTCCTCAATGTATTCTTTCAGTACTCTAGCATTTTTCTCAATTGAAGCCTATCATAAACTATATAATTAGCAAAGGTGATGTATAATTCAATGCAATAACTTCAATGGATCAATAACTACCTCACTATGAATCTTGGCAATATGACATGCTAAACCCATCTTTGAGAAGCAGGTTTTTGTGCTGGTAAAATAGAGTGGTCCATGGTTGCTAAAAAGGCCTGCAAACATTAACTGTACTGTTATAAGGAGCAGAAAAAACCCAAAAAGTACTAACCATAAATAACAGACCCCTACCCCGAATCCACAGCCAAAAAAAAAACTGCTTATTAGTGAGAAGAAGTTAAGAACTGCAATAAATATTCTCTCTTCCTTATTGCTATACTGATATACTCAATTGTACAGCTTAGCATATGAAACAGACAAGGATTAGGGGAAGGAGTAGCTAAAGTTTAACCTAAAAACTAACAGAAAACAGGTGAAAGGAGACTCTCATAAGATAAACTAAGCTACACAGGTGATTAATTGTAAAGGGGTGTGTATGAGAATAATGCAAAAATTCAAGGGTGGTGATTTCATATTCCAAAAGATTAATTAGTCTTGGAAAATGAATTTTTGGCATAATGAAGCAAGAATTTAGAAGTTTCTCCTGATGCTCATGGGACGGAGTCATAGGGAAAAAGTTCAGTCATGGACTCAAATGTGATATGACCATCCTATATAGCCTTCATTAAGGATGATTAGACCAAACCCACAGGACAGAGGTAAGGTATGTCCAGCCCAGGCAGCCACAGAATAACAAACGAAGTAACAACCCACCAATTTACACACATCAATGATCCCAGTCTAATAGCCTCCACAAGTCTAAATAAATGGTACCAGGAGAAAAAGTAACCTCAGCCACAAGTCCCACCCAAAACAAGTAAAGTATTCTTTAAGAATGAAAAAAATGTCTGGTACCTGGAACTAACAAATAAATCATTGACTTTGGTAGCCTGTGGACACCATGACTGAGAACAAGGGGAAAAAAATAATCAGAATATGAATTAGTTAAAAAGCACGAGGGGCATCAAAGGCAAATAGAATTGATACCTGATACTGTCAAGAATTTCCATAAATCTCTCGGTTCCATTTTCCACTGGTGGCATATTTGGATCACGTTGAAGCCAACCAATATCATCTGCTGATCCACGAACAGTCCTTCGTGCACGCTCAACTAGCCTATAACATCACATTGGCACAAAATTGAACATGAGAGAAGCATCACTGAAGCCAAATAACACTACAGAGATGAATTGCGAATAATAATTAACAAATATCAAGACGAAAGTTTATCCATGAAGGCTCTCTGACTATAAAGTCAAATGTTCCATTGCTCACCTGGTTAGCATATTCATAAAAGTAACAGCCCAATTAATAACAATTATTAGGGAACACAAAGTAAGAGAAAACACTAGAAGCCCACAGATGGCATTAAAACTAAAATATATTTTCAGTAGTTCTATTTATGAAAGCCTTTTGGTTTGGCTACAAACATGCATAGGCTTAACGGGGCCCATGAGAAGCAAACTAAAGAGATCTAATCTTAAGGAATCATAAGCTGTAGATATGATATGAGAACAATGTCACCACTGTATGAAACTAATCTGATGGAATCATATGCTGGTCCAAATTTGACAAATAACATTCTTTTAATTATTCTTTTTCTCCACTAAGTACCAAACCAAACAAATAATGTCTCAATTTCATGATAGGATATGATAATCGTCGAGGGCCTTGGACCACAGGATTTAGAATATATCTTTCATATAAATCAATAAATAGCAGCTAAATAATCTGGTGAGCTACAGGAACTAAATATCTGCTAGTCACTCCAAGAAAATTTAGGATTATAGGTTTTGATTTCTTCTATGTGCAATAAATCAAAAGTTATCTGCATTTCTGCCACGATCACTTTCAGTTCCCAGTCAAAAAAGCTCACCCTTGAAAGAGGGAAATTCCAGATTGGCTGGTACTCATAGAAGCTGATTGCGCTGAAGCACCAAAATTTTCTGATGATATATTTGCTGCATCTCTTTGAACATCTCCACTTAACTGCAGAGCCCCAGATGAATTAGCTGAAGCAGAAAGTCCAGGGTTGCTTCCATTAGTTTCATTCATATAAAGGTGACCTGGAGAAAGCGATTCCGTTGTTTGCATAGAGATCAAAGGTGCTGTTTCTCGCTCATCTCTAACACCAGCTTCCCTTGTGCTTTGGTCTGCAACAGCATGGAGATACTGTAAGCTAAAATGAAACTTCTTAAAAAAACATAATGGTTGAAGAACTATGTCAAGAAAGCCACAATCATACAGTTTACTATGTTTTGGAAAATAAATTGAATAACAAAGCAAAAATCATGAAACAATTGCTTCTTGCCACTTTGGCAGAGCAATGAGGTTTTTATTCCTGATATCTGTTTACAGTACAATGATGCAGTAACTAATTGATCACCAATGACTACTACCTCCATCCAGAATTGATCACCAATTTGTCCTTACCCTCGTATTTGTGTTTTTACCATAAATTTACAAAATACCCAATATAATAGCAGGTTCCTTCTCATCCTCTACCCACCATACAAATTTATTTTTCAAAAAATACTGGCACAGCTTGGGAGTAGCAAATTGTAATTTTTATGTTTTTAATATTTCTGGAAAAAGGGAGTGGATTGGCTAACAAAACTATAAAAGTACAATGGCCAATGAAGTGGTTAAACTTTGGGAAGAACATTACGGGTGCTTGTTAAAGTTTAGTTCAAAATTGAGTATAAGTGAAAGCTAATTATTTTCTACTTTGTATTATGTAGCTAGTCAACATATAAACACAAAGTATTAAAAGAAGGTGGCCAAGAGAGTAGAGTATTAACACTGAATTTCCATTTTGGGAAACAAAAAAAAAATTAATAATAAAAGACTTAGAAATCCTGTTAACTCAGATAAAAATACATAATGAAGTTCCAGCCAAGGCCTCTATCACTTAATTGACTAATGAGTAGCCTATAATAGCAATTTAGACTTCAACGCTTTCCCATGGATCATCCTCATTCAACACCTTTAGCCCCAAGCTCTGAATGAGAAACATACCTACAGGCATAAGACCATGCTAAATGCAACAACACCAATGACCATATAAAGAAGAATTGACCCTCCAGAATAGAAACTCACCTGAAAAATCTGGGAAACAACTAGTTATGTATGAAGTTGTTTCAGCAATAAAAGAAGCAGCATCATTGAGAGCTGGCACAGATGTAAATAGCTGTGGGATGAGACTTCCATTCCCAACATTGTTATTTCGTGCCTATGAAATGAGTAACCAGTTCAGGAATTCAAGAAGTTGGCCCAAAAAAAAAAAATGTTGTAAGACTTCTCTTTCACGGGGAAAGGAAGGTTACAGAAAATTGAGAACAATACTAAGATACTTAAATACAATACTACCAAAATTCTTGACATAATATATTGTTTCTCTAAAATGCTTGGCCTAGACCCATCTTCTTACATTCTTAACAAATTCTTATCCAGACAAAAGGCAAAAACGTTTGAGAGAGAAGCTATAATAAATGGAAGAAACGACAGTACCCCCCCAAAAAAGTAACGATAGGGCTCCCAATACTGCAATTATAAACACACCCATAAAACTACCAACTACTAAAAACTAAGGGAAAAAATGCAATAATATAATCTTTTATATAAACGATCATATAGAATGAAATTTTCAAATTACCATCACAGCTGAACTTGATTCACCAATTCTGGAAGTCCTGGTGTCCATAAATCAAGCAATAAATCCTAACAAGTATATACAAGAGTACTGAGTGTCAAAAAAAATTTGAACTAAATAACTCGCACAATTAGAATTGGTACATAAAAAAAATGCCGAAATTGAATACAAATATAAAAAATAAATGAAAACAGTACTTTAAAGTTTTAACTTGTTCAACCAACAGCAAGACCTATCATAAAATATACATTGGTGTTGTTTTCATGATTTAGTTATCAACCAATATATAATTCAATACTAAGAACCCTTAAATCTCTTTCTTCCCAAATAGTATTAAAGAGACGGGATCAAAGAGATTGGTCGGTCCATGACATATTGCATTGGATAGTTGTCATAGTTCAGTATAAGGCTGTAAATTAAGGAAATCTTAATAAGCTATTGAGTAATATATATCACCATATCTCTTTTGTTTCATTAATTTTTACTACAATTCATACCTATACCTCCAAATGGTAATAACAATTTTGATAGCTCGTATATACATCAACATTGAAATTCACACATAACATTCAATGTAAAACAGTACAAAAACACCAGTTAATATTTCCTTAATTCACATTCAATCAGAAGTCCCAACGAAATTATAATACTCAAAATTCCACAAATCAAACAAAAACTCAGAAACAATTGTTAATCTTCAACATCACAATTATAAAGACAGCTAAAAGTCATATTATTAGCTAACATAATCATACAAATACAAATCATAGCAATTTTAATCACTAATTTCATCAACAATTACAAACCTTCAATCCAATCATATAATAACAAAACAATTTCCAAATTGCAACACCAAAAAAGCAATTAACATAAAAATCAACATATTATGAACTTACGGAAACGTTGATCAATTTGGGGAAAAAATCGCGGTTCAAATAATAAACCTAGATTTCAGGATAATATATTTTAATTAAAAAAAAAAAAAAAAAAAAGTGCACCGCTTACCCCAAAAATACAGGAAAAATGAAATGTGAAAAATTGAGAGAAACGCAAGTGAAAATTAAAGAATAAGATTCTGGAAAAATCTGGAGGACTTTTGGTGGGAAAATTGCAACTGCCAGTGACACGCAACGTTACCAATGATACGGCACCGTTCGTTGAGCCAATCCCGTTGCTTTTTCTTGTGCTTGGTCGGTTCATGGATGTGCGGGTCGGATTTGGTAAAGTCGAGTCTATTTTAAACAAGTTTTGTGCCTATGCAAATGCACATATTCATAATGGTAAGCTTTATTAACAATGATTTATGCAACTTTTTTTTCTATTTTAAATTTGTTTATTGTATACCCTTAAAATTCTTCAATGTTACATAAATATTTTTTATAGAATTGTGCCAAGTGTCTTATTTGGTGATTATTTTAGCACTAACTCCGTTTTTTTAGTTGACATATATGTTTTTTGAAAAGTTTTTTTTTTAATACATTTTTATTTTGGGTAAGCTTTGTAATGAAAATGACAAAGTTACCCTTATTTCTCCTTTCTTTCCTCCCCCACAATAGACCAGTCTCTCTCCTCCATAACCCACTCACTCTCTCCCCTCCATAACTCACTCACTCACTCTCTCTCCTCTCTCCTCTCTAACAGCCATCACCATGGCTAAACATCTCAATCTCTCTGACTCTCTCTCCTCTCCTGCTCTCTGCCCCTTGAAGACTAGCTCAACCACCCTCGTTACAATCATCGTCGTAAGAGAAACCACCACCGTCACTCTAATCGTATATCGCACGAGGATAACCTAGTCAGGTACTATTCATATATTAGGGCCTTAGGGGTACTGTGCAAGTGGCCTTAAATAAGATATTAAGAATATTCTTTTTTTTTTTTTTTTGTGGTGCAATATTAAGAATATTCTTTTCATAGGTTTAAAATTATTTTGTAGGTACAATATATCTACAAGTAGTATTTTGACTATTTTCTGATGAAATACATGCCAAAGAAACAACCAAAAAAAACTAAAGTAATAAAATCAAAGAACATCATCATATTGATATAATGTGGAAACTTAGGTGAATCTCGGTTGTGTGAACATTGGTTGTGTATCCATCATCAACAACCAATGTTCAAACCAATGATGATGATGATGATGATGATGATGATGCGCCATTGGTTGTGTGAACATTGGTTGTTGATGATGATGATGGTGTGTGAACGTTGGTTGTTGTTAATGATAATGATGTCCATGGTGATGATGATGATGGGGACGGTGGCCGGTATCTTGTTGCCGTTGTTGTCCATTGCGGTGATGGTGATGGCGGTGATGGTGATGGTGATGGTCGTGGTGGCTGTCTTCGTCTACGAGGATGTTCGGGATGCCACACAGGAGAAAGTTGCTCGGACGTACAGGCCTTGCAGCTGCCTTAGTTTTCGAACCTTGGTTTGCCTTTGCATGGGAATCTTCATCAGAAGATGGATTTTTCTTCTTTTTGCTATTGAGAGATTTCTTTCGTTTAGGAGCAAACCCTAATGCTGCCATAATACCATGAATAACATCTTTACACTTAGCCATTGCTTGCTAATTTAGAGCACCAAAGAATTGAATTACGAGTAATTAACTACAAAGCACAAAGGATTGTATATAAGTATATAACGCAATTATTATGGTAAACTCTAGCCAAGGACCCCTATATATATATATATATATATATATATATATTTAAAGGACCCAATTATATACTTTCTCCGTTCCTTTTTTATTGCATCATAGGGGTTTTTGAGGCAAAATTTGCTAATGGGAAAAAGTAAGAGAAAGAAATGTAAAAATACAAAATCAATGTAAAGATAAAATAAAAGGTAATTGTGAAAAAGTAAGGGTATGTTGGATATTTGCAGGGTGAGCATAGATATTTTTTGTCCTAAAATGGAAGTGATGCAATATTTGTGAAAATTCCCTAAAAGGCAATATTAAAAGAACGGAAAAATTACCTAATTTGTCTTGAAGTAGGACTTGTGAATATGATAATATTTAAATAATATTTGATATTATCATATCACCAAAAGTTATCCTCAGAAAACGATGTTACATATTACCAAAAGTTATTTTCAGAAATAAAAATAATTATTTTGTAAATAAATTATTATGACGGATTTCCAAATATAGTTAGAACTATCCGTACATAATAACCCTAGTTAGTACTAGTTCCAAACGCAAGGAGAACAAATCTATTAATTTTGATCAATGGGAATAATAAAATCTATGAAATTAAAGTCCTTTCCTAGATTAAATCAGATCTAGTAGTTTCTGCTTAAACTACATGCCAAAGCAACAAACAAAAAAAAAGAAAATAAAGAAGAAAATAATTCTCCCAACATTTATTTTGTAGTAACACATAAAAATGTGTTGTTATTTCAAAGGCTACGAAGGAGAATGCCTTCAAAAGTAATCCCAGGTCCAAATGCTAAGGCAAGTCCCCATTCTTCTCCACCATTTTCTTTGTTCTTCAACTCATCCCTCATGTACTCCATCACGTAGAATATAGTGTTGCTACTAACATTTCCGTAATCCATTAACGCTCTTCTACTACAGTTCAGCTTATCTCCAGTCAGTTTGAGAGTATTTTCCACTCTATTAAGAATCGCCGGACCACCAGGATGGACTGCCCAAAACAACTCATTATAATCTTTCAATCCTTCCTTGCTCATAAGCTTCTTGCAAAACTCTTCGATGTTGTCCTCGATTTTGTGGGGTAAGTCCCTACCTAGCTTAAAGTTGATGCCTTCTTCTGTAAGGCAGCCATCGATCACGTTATGGGTCCCAGGCAAGAACTGTTGGACCGCGTAGTTGAGCTCCATAAATGGGCTTTCCCGGCTCAAATCTGGATTTGACCCGATTACTACAGCAGCTGCTCCGTCTCCAAAAAGGGCAGCCCCAACAAGGTCGTAGGGGCGGTCCTTGTTTGGGGGACGGAAGCCCAGAATGGTGGTTTCAGAGGTGGTCAAGAGTACTCTGCTACCTGGGTTGTTCTCTGCTATGTCCTTGGCAACTCGCAAACCCGTCACCCCACCATAACAGCCCAAGAAGTAAAGCATCACCCGGCCCACATCAGGCCTAAGCCCGAGCTCGGCAGAAAGGTACAAGTCACCCCCAGGTAATCTTATCTCACTGGAGGAGACATAAACAATATGGGTTATGTCTTGGGCTGGCCTGCCCCATTCCTTAATGCAAGCAATGCTGGCTTCAAGAGCCATTTCTACCACTGCTGGGTTTGCTATCTCTAACTTTTGCCTGATTGTTGGTGTTCCCTCAGTTGCAAGTTCTGGGTGACTATCAAGAATCTCTTTCGACATCACCGTGTATCTTGTCTTCACTGTTGTTGTCTTGCCTAATCAAACCAAAAACAAATGGAAAATAATTAAACAAAATCAGCAAACAATAAATTAGTACAGAAAAACACTGGATAAACAATTAACAAGTAAGAATTTAAGAGTGATTATCTAAATTTTACTTACATAATCGCTCCAATTTCTCCTTCACGACCAAATCGTGGCAATTGGTGTCGCGGATGTAACCTTCAACCAGATGTTCCTGGGGAATGAGTTGCTTGGGGAAAGCCTTACTGATAGCGAGCACAGTTGCCTTGCCTAGAGTGGCTGTGCGATCACTTGAAGCACCATTACCATTGGTTTTCAACATCATTACAATTTACAAGTCCTTTTCCAGATGGATCTTGTAAATTTGGTGCTTTGTGGGATATATTTAGAAGTTTTGACTAGGGTGCTTATAAATGGGGAGATCAGCTTTAGTCTTGGAAGAAAGTAGGTGAACAGGAAGTGCATGAAAAGAAAAATAATGCATTATTTAAGTCACCTTCTGTTTGGTTCACAACATTTAGCATCTTGGGACAAAATGGTGTGAAAAGATTTTCTATAAGAGAAACAATCTTTTTCATTTCCTTATCTCTGCTGGTAAGGGGCAAAGATGTAACCTGATTCTAACTTAAATTTTTCTTCTAATCCTGCCTTCTGTTGTAGCACAAAAGGTTAATATTTTGAAACTATGTAAAATGCATAGTAGTCATATTTCCAACAAACCCCACACATTCAATACTTCATCTGTTCCCAACAAACACAGAATTTAGGAAAACGTTATCAAAGAAAATTACGTATATATACCACACAATTGCTTACAGTAACTGAAATACAAATAAGTTCTTAATAATACCAGGCTTACTCAGAAAAGGATGGAGATATTTTAAAACATATTTCTGATATATACACTCCAACCTTTCCAAGAGACCAAGACAGACGAAACAATTGAACGATCATGGCACCCTGTTCGCAAGCAGCAAATTAAGAATACAAACAGTAATATTTACTGTAAATGAAAGGTTTTATCATCACCTCTACTTCATTCTAAGCGGATATGAAAAAGTTTTTTTGTTGGGGGTTGGTTGTTTAAGAAAAAAGAACTAAGAAGTACCAAATGAAAGCTTGTACTACTTTTCATAAATTCAACTGACCACCATGTTTACTCATTTCTTCTTCAGCACCAAAATGATTGACATGTAACATTTCACTATCTTGAAGGCTTCCTGTAATAATACCTGTACAGAGAAGCCAGAGGGAAAAGGAATTCATAATTCAAGTTCAGGTAAAAGCACAACTGGCTACAGGAAAAAAATATATATGAGAATAACCGGAGACTTACACATAAATCTTGATGCCGTATATGGAGGAATATTTTCGCAGAAGACGCTCAGTAGAGTACCAAATTGCTCGATCTGATCCATCTTGATACCTGACACGTGGCATGTGGATAGAGGCTGCTCAAGTAATTTACGTAAGAAAATGTAGTTAGTCACAGATTATCGCAGAAAATAATCAGGATTTCAAGTGGACTCGGAACCAAAGGCTGAAAGACAGACTAAACATCGTACAGAAACGAGTCTGTGCCATTCCTCCAAAAAAGAAAAAAAAGTGTCTTTGCCAAGGCTCGTCATGGAAATAAATATAATTGGAAAAAAAAAAAAAAAAGTTCCTGCAAGGAGAATGATCAGATTGAAATGACAAACACTATGAATCTGAACAACGAAAGGCAATCAGTTACAAATGTGAGCAGAATCGATAAACCAGTGGCTTTCTAGTCAAGAGCCAGTTAGTTCTAGGACTTAACGGAAATAAGAAGGTAACAACATATCCAACACAATCTTCAGCTAGTTTTTAGACAATGAAATCAATATATATTATTCAGCAGCAGGGTCATGATGTCATCTAAGTGGTGGTGATATTAGGAAGACAGTAAAAAAGCAGGGTAGATTATGACTAC